ACATTTAAAGAAATGCTCAACATCCTTAATTATCAGAGAAATGCAAATCAAAACGACTCTGAGATACCACCTTACACCACCTTACACCTGTCAGAATGGCTATGATCAAAAACACCAATGACAGTCAATGTTGGAGAGAATGTGGAGCAAAGGGAACACTCCTCCACTGTTGGTGGGAATGTGAACTTGTACAACCACTGTGGAAATCAGTATGGCAGTTTCTCAGAAAATTAGAATGGAACTACCTCAAGACCCAGCCATCCCACTCTTGCTGATTCATACCATAAAGATACATGCTCAGCTATGTTCATAGCAGCACTATTTGTAATAGCCAGAACCTGGAAACAACCTAGATGCCCATCAACGGAAGAATGGATGAAAAAAATGTGGTACATATACACAATGGAGTACTACTCAGCAGAGAAAAACAATGAAAGCATGAAATCTGCAGGCAAATGGAAGGAACTAGAAAAAATCATCCTGAGTGAGGTAACCCAAACCCAGAAGGACAAACATGGTATGTACTCACTCATAAGTGGATTCTAGATATAAAATAAAGAACAATCAGACCACAACCCATAGAACCATAGAGGCTATATATATAGCATGGAGGTCCCTAGGACGACTGTGGCTTATAATAAATTTCAGTTTTACTCAATTATTGAAAAAAAAAGTAGGTTTCTGTGTTTCTTTTTACACACCCTTAGTTGTTAGTTGTTAGTTATATGTCTCCCATCCCCTCTTTTTCTTTATAACACTAGGTCAGAGTAAATTTTAACATTTTTTTAAAAAATTAATCATCTGTGACTGATATGTAAAATTAAATTATAAAATAAAAAAATTTAAAAAAATGAATCCTTAAAAAAATTAAAAATAAGAAAAAATTTAGAAGCATAGTAGCATAGTGGTGTGCACTTGAAATCCCAGGGCTGGGAAGGTGGAGATAAGCATACTTCTAGCCAGGTAGTCTAGCTTAAGGTCGGTGAGAGATAACATCTCAAAAACCAAGGTGAATAGATTCTGAGGCCTGACAGCCAGGGTTAACTTCTGGCATCTATCCACATGTCCACACGCACATACATACACACATTCCTGTGCACACAAACACAAACACAATTGCCACAAAAACTAATAAATTGAACTTTATCAAAAATCGCTTGAGCTAGCGATATATGTGACTGGTACAGTGCTTGCCTGGCATGCATACGGCCCCATATTCAAATCTGTAGCACCATTTGAAAAGGGGGTGTGGGAGAAGGATATGTTCAAAATACAATTAAGACTTAAAGGATAAGCCACAAACTAAAAGAGAGTTTAAAGAGCAAATCTGATCCAGGGCTCTTATGAACAATAAGAGAACAGCTGAATAAGAATGTAAATGCAGATGTGAGCAGACACTTTGAATCCAGCAGCTATATTGAAAGAAGCAGCGCCTTCATTATAATGGGAATACAAACAATATCTCAAAAATGCAGGGTATTAGTTGTATCTCTGTGATAAAATGCCCTGAGTAAAAGCAAGTTGGGAGGAAAGGGTTTACCTCAGCTCACAGTTGTAGTCTATCACGAAGGAAGTCAGGCCAGGGATTCAAGGCAGGAGCCTGGTGGCAGGAACCTGGCGGCAGGAACTGCAGCAGAGACCGTGGAGGAGGAGCGCTGCTTCTGGCTTACTCAGTTTGCTTTCCTATAGACCCAGGGATTAGACCTGCCCAGGGATGGCACTGCCCTAGTGTGCCATTAACAATCCACAACAATCATTAAGAAAATGCCCCACACAGGCTTGCCAACATGCTAATCTGATGGGAGCATTTTCTCCATTGAGATTCCCTCTTCTCAGATGACTCTAGCTTGTGTCAAGTTGACAAAAATTAACAACAGAATAGCCAAAATAAAATATTCAGTTATTAGATATGCCAATAAGAACGTAGACTCAGTGCTCATTCACAGCTGACATGCAAGTCTTCATAGCCACTTTGGTAAACATCTGGACAGTTCCTTCTGAGCACAGGACCCAATCCCAGTTACATTTTCAAGAGAAATGAAAACTAGTGCTCACAACCAAGTTTATACACAAACACCTTTAGCTCTATTGTGGGAGACCAGATCCGACGTTTATTTACCCCAGGGACTCTTAAGGAGTGAGGGATACGAGATTTAGATAGAAATATAGAGGAGAGAGACAGTTAGAAACACAGGATAAGCCGGGCGGTGGTGGCACACTCCTTTAATCCCAGCACTCGGGAGGCAGAGCCAGGCGGATCTCTGTGAGTTCGAGGCCAGCCTGGGCTACCAAGTGAGCTCCAAGAAAGGCGCAAAGCTACACAGAGAAACCCTGTCTCGAAAATCAAAAAAAAAAAAAAAAAAAAGAAGAAGAAACACAGGATAGCCTCCACAGGTGGGTCTGGATCCTTATCCACCGGCCCCTTCTGGATCTACTAAAGGGCTTTTAAAGGAATGTCAAGGGGTGGAGCAAAAGATCTCCCACAGCACAGCCAAGTGCAGAGCATCCCAGATACCTGGTGACCAAGCATGTGGTCAAGCCATCCCCTAATGCTGCCCTGCTGTGTAAAGCAAGCTCAGATCTCACTAGGAAGTTTTGTGGGCTCCCATACTTTATGAATAATCTCTAAAAACTGAACAGCGTCCTTCAGCCAATGGATAAACACAACACATTCAGAACACGAAATACTGCTCAATAAAAGGGAACACAGAATTGATTCTTGTGGCTAGATACATTAATCTTACATGCATTTTGCTAGATGAAAGAGCCAGACAGACTGAGAAAACTACTATGGCTTACGACTCTATTTATATGACATTCTGGAAAATATGAAACTACAAGCATGGGGAACAAGTCAGCAGTTGGCAGAGGACTGAAGAAGGGAAAGCATCTGATTACAGAGTGACAAGAAAGGGAGCCTT